AATAGCAGTCATCTTAATTCCCATAAAAGAACTCACACAGGGGAGAAGCCATATAAATGCCTGGAGTGTGGAAAAGGCTTTACTCAGAGGGGTAATCTTAATTCCCATAAAAGGATTCACACGGGAGAGAAGCCATACAAGTACGCAGAGCTTGGAAAGAGCTTCAGGATGACCAATGATTTAATTCCTCATACACAGATCCATTTGGGTGAGAATCGATGTAAATTCCAGAATTGGTAAATTCTATCTATTTCCTCCTTTGTATACTGAAGCTCTAGAGGTTTTTGAGTCTGACCATTACAACCCGTAGTCCCAGGAAAATGAATTTACAAATAAAAAAAGCAATCTGGATGTGCTGTTTTAAGGTAGCTGCTCTTGCATATCCTTTTTCTTTCTTTAAGTTTATACATTCTGGTTTGCAATTGGAAATAAAAATACAAGAAAATGGGCATTTTAATTTTTTCAGATATAGTCTATGCAATTTTATGAAGATGTTTTTATTGTGTTTTTTTTACAAATGAGTCTTGGGATGGATCCACTATAATTACTCATAGCTTAAACTTTGCTTCTTTTCCTTAATCATTTGTTTTTCTCTCCTTTTCTCATTCCTTAATAAGTTTACAGTTTATCAGAGGACCTTGAACTTCTCTGTCTTCACAAAATATTAGAAATGTTGCAGCAGAGATTCTGGGAATTGAAGCAATACGAGGGGAATTCAAATTCTATTGGTATACAGCATGGGATGGAACGTGATATTGCATTTTCCCACTGAATAATTCTGATATTAAAAGTGACAACTAAGGATTTGTGTTTTAAATTTTGCATAATTTTCCCTCTGTTTTCTGTCTCATCCGAAGTTAGGGATACTCAGTGGAATGAGAATGAAAGTAACTCCAATGTGCTGACTTTGCAAATGATCAAGCAAGAAGGGGCACCTTTGGAAATCAGTGAGGATCAAAACAACATGAAATCAAGAAACATTATTACAAAAAACTATTTCAGTTCCTCCTGTCCAAATAGTCAGAAATGAGAATGGGAACTTCCTCTGGGATATGAAGATATCTAAAAAAACCAATTCAATTCGCACCCATAGTGTAGAATTGAAACCTGAAGCAACCAGTATGAATGCAGAAGCATGGAATCTTTTTCAGTCAAAAGTCTCTCATGATGCAGGAATATTGTCACATATGTATAAGTATAGAGTGTAAAGGGCTTCAGGATGAAGAAGAATTTTCACAAAGGTCTCAGAGTGACGAGAAGCCCACGAAATATACAAAAAGCTTTTTTAAACATTAGGGACTTATTTCTTTCGTATGTGGACTAAGATATCTACATTTGATTTCAATAAAGTTAATTAAACATCAATGGCATGGTTACTTTCCAGGTATGTATTAAAATACTTTTCAGCTGCATTAGTAAAAAGTAGGATTTTAACTTTGTACACTAAAACAGTTTAAATGTGTACAATAAAGCAGTTTTTGTGGGGGGAAATGCTGTCTATGTGCCATATGTTTGGATTGTGTATGATAATAAGAAAAACCCTAACAATTACCCATGAAATTTTTTGGAAGGATTTCAGTGGGAGACAAATTTCAGGGTTTTGGAGGTTCCTGCTGGTTTGAAGCTTCAAATGTTGCTCTTGGATGGTTCTGGGTCAAACTAAAAAAGTTACTATTTCCATTTTGGTGTCCTTTTTTTAATTAGAGAAGTGGAACTCAGATTGTCATAAAGAACTAAAAATGGATGGAGAAGTTAAATCCATTCTTTTTAAATGGAGCTTTTAAACCACTTTTACCTTTCATTTCAAATTGTTTGTTTTACTAATTGTAGCTAAATCTCTTTTTTGTTTGCCTTGTCACTTCCAGATGCAGAGTAATCTCTTCAAATCACTGGAGTTTTCAGTTCTTTCCACCTAACACAAAATTTATACTTTTTTTCTATTTATTCATAATGTAAACATTCTAGTGACCTTAATTTCTTCAAACTGTCTTCCCCGTCACATTTCCTGAGATGGATTACCTATTCAATCTGTTTTTAAAAAATGTTTTTTTTCTCCTGAGATATCTGAGATTTATATTCCTTTTCCACTGTTTTCCTTCATTTTATAATTCCAAATTTTCTCCAGTCACCAATAAGACACCGTTTTCCCTCCTTCATTTCTCCACTATGGTGCCTTGTGAGGTAAAATTCTGAAAGATCCATCAGTTTGACCTTTTTCTCCATTGTGGGAACGGTTTTCTTTTGATATTTCTTTTCTTTCCAGCATTACTTCCGATATCACAAATTGCCACTTGGTTAATCTTTGGCACCCAGAGCCATGAATATGAGAAGGGCAGCTATACATATTGAATTAAAGAAATAAAATCTGATAGAAATCCCCGTTTTCCTGAAACGAAAAATTTTCCTCTCTCATGAGATGCTGCCATCTTTCTCTGAGAGGCAACCATTGAGAGTCCTTTCCTCCTATTCCCATGCCCATCATCCTCGTGCTCTCCCCATTCCCAAAGATACGGTCTTCTTTCCCGCCCTTTCAGGGAATCCTGATGCTGTGCGCAGATTCCTCCAGGGGTGTCCTCCGTCAAGAGGTAACGTCAAGCGCTTCCCTATTGGCCCACGGAGGGCAAATGTCACGGCTGGCTTTCCAGAGGAGGCTGCAAAGGGAGTGACATCACAAACGCTTGCCACTTTAGCACACTGCAACTCCTGGAGCTCCACAGGAGGCAGAGAGGCTGCGGAAGAGTCTGGCGGGGGGAGACCCAGACGTGCGGGAGGGGCTTTTCCCGTGCAAAGGAAGGAGGAGGGAGAGACCCTTGTTCGGCCCTCCTCCGTCTTCAACCCCCGCCTGGGGAGAGCCGAGTTGGGGGAGGGGAGGGTCGGCCTTGCGGAGGCCCAGCAGGAGATGAGAGAAGCCGGGCGAGGAGGAGGCAGGATTCGCACCAGGCTCCCCGAGGGCCTGATCCTGTCTCCGGAGGGGGAGAGAAGCGGGCCGGCCTCTCCAGCTGCCTCCTTACCGGCCCTGCTTGGAGGGGACCTTGGCCCTTCGCTGGGATGATTCCTTTGGGGCAGGCTGTGTGAATCTGCCTGCATGTCAGAGAGACACCGCTCTCCAAAGGACACCCTGAAAAAGGGAAATGGGGCATCCTTAGCCATGATCATTGACTTGCATGGTTTGTTCACCTTTTGGGGGTTTACAGGTTGTGTGGACCCTGCTTTGTGCTGAAAGTAAATTGTGAAGAAAAAGAAATAGAAAATGCATTTATTGAGTGTTAGAATTTAAATATAAAAAGAACTTGGAGAAGAAGATTGGAAGTTAAAAGCCTTTCATTTGCCATCCCCCAACACACCCCTTAGCAACCTCTTTTCCCTGAAAGTCTATGGAGATTTTCAGTCATCCAGGTCATGGTTGTCCCAAATGTACTCTTTCAAGGGGCAACTGGACTTTCTGGTTTTTCTTTGAAGACATTTCACTTCTCATCCAAGAAGCTTCCTCGGCTTAGGAAACTTCTTGGATGAGAAGCGAAACGTCTTCAAAGAAAAAACAGAGAGTCCAGTTGCCTCTTGAAAAAGCACCTTTTGGACTCTATCCCCTGAATGAACGAACATACAATTCTATCATTTAGAGTAGCACCTCACTTGCTCCATCAAACTCCTAGATTAAGTAAAAACGCCAGATGCCTTCATAATAATCTACACCTAGGATCTTGGATTTAACATATCCTCGGGAATCACAATCAAAGCCTAGGGTAGGAACCTCAATCTGCATATCTAAACATCAAAGCCCACTTGTCATAATGTACACTTCTAGTAGTAAGTCTCCAGTGTTGTAGATGCAAAAACTACCATAGGAATTCATTGACTTGCTTAACAATTGTATGGGTCCTTGGTGCTCTCTGAGCTTGGTTGTTTTCTTGCAGATATTTCATTATCAAATGGTGGTGGTCCTTTTTGCAACTGCCAGAGTTGCTTAATGACCACTATAAAAAGAGAGTACCATTGGGTTGGTTGTGTGGATGCCTTGACTGTCATGACTTACAATAGAAATTGCAGGCTCCGTCATGGTTGTAAGTTGAAGAATAGCCTCACTGAACTTGTAAAAAAAAACATTTTTCTGAGTCTGATCTGCGCAACTGGCAGCCCCAAAGTGAATTTAGCAATTGAAACTAAAATAATGGATACATGTTCTTCTAACAACGAATAGTTGCTTTTTGTCATCTTAACCATCAACAATATTTAATATCAATAAGAGAAAATATGTTTTTCTTAAGTTTACATTTATCTCCTTTTTCTTTATTTCATCTCAAGTTAGGGAAATTCAGGAGAATGCGAATGAAAATGACTTGATTGTGCTAGCATTGCAAACAATGAAAGAAAGAAGTTCTTTGGAAATCTGTTGAGACCAAAATAAAATAATCGGACAGTAACAAAAACTACTCAGAAATGACAACAGGAGCTCCCCTTAGATTATGAGGATACCCCCCGAATAATCCACATCCATGGTGAAGAAATAAGATCTCAGTCAACCAGTATGAATGGAATATTTTTCAGTCAGAAGGCCTCTCATGATGTGATAGGTCCCAGAGATGTAGTGTGTGTGTGTGTAAAAAACTTCAGGGTGAAGAATTTCACAAAACAAGCCAGGATAACAAAAAACAAACAAACAAACCAAACGCACGGGCAAGATTTCAAGCGTTAGAGCCCCCCTTTCCCTCTTCCCATGATATGACCAGGGTTAAGTAAAAGCCAACGTTTTCTTTAAGTAAAATTAATTAAATATCAATGGTGCATTTACTTGCCAGACATGTATAAAATTCTATTAAAAATTATTTAACAAAAATATTTGGAAGGATTTTGGAGAGGGGGGAAATCTCAGGTTTTCAAAGTTTCATGCTGGTTTGAAACAATTTAAAAACTGCTGATGGCTGATTCTGGGTTAAACTGAAGAAGAATAAGTGGGTTGAAAACAAAAAAGTTAACTTCATTCTTTTAAAATTGATTTTTAACCACTAATTTTCCTTCATATAATTCTGTGTTTTGGCAATTGTAGTTAAACTAGTACTTCTCAGAGGTGGACTGAGGATCCCTCAATCCAACTTCTGCTGTGTCAAATTAAGATCTGAGTCAACAAGTATGAATGCAGAAGCAGGGAATTTTTTTGGTTAAAGACCTCTTCTGATGTGATGGAATAATGACAGATGTCAGTGTCTAGAGTGTGTGCAAAAAGCTTCAGTGAACAATTCATCTTTCAAAGAAGGCCAGAATGAACAGAAGCTGACAAAATGCAGGGGCAAAAGATATTTTTCAAACTTTAGGGCCCTATTACTGCCTTTTTCTGGTGTGCTAGGGACTTAGAAAAAGTATAAAAGTAATTTAAATAAAACTAAGTATCAGTGGTATGGTTACGTGCTAAACATGCATAAAATTCCTTCTCTTTGTTACATTAAACATTACCGTACTAACCGAATAATTTTTTGGGATGGCTTTTGGGGGGGGGC